ATTGGTTTGATGTTTTGTGCTTAATGCTATTGATTTGGTTGAAACCCTAATTGATATGATTGTAGAACACATTGATCATAAGGATATGGGAATGATGTTTGGAATCAAATGTCAAATGAGTGAGTTATTCACATTGGGAGATGGCTTAGCTTGCTTAGGGTTCATGATCTGCGGTTCATGATGAGGAGCACCACATAAACCAAGAGCGCATGAATCCGCTCTACGATCAGCATACCGAGGGCGAAACTACTTATGTTGCAGAGGAGACTTTGGGTTCTTACATTGCACCGAAGTACACCCAACTCCTATCATGCATCAACCGTCCGCCCATTGACAGTTTCGAGCTACCGCCACAGTGCTTCACGATGTTCAGTCAGGCGAGTTTCAGAGGGCGGCCTACAGAGGATCCCATTGCTCACTTGACTCAGTTCAAGATGCTGTGCAGATCAGTTAGGAAGGCACGAGGAATGACTATTGAAGATGTATACTTGGAGGCCCTTCCTTTTTCACTGATGGATCGGGCAAGAGATTGGTTCTACACCCTTGAGCCGAACTCGATTACGACATGGGAGGAGCTAGAGGAGCAGTTTATGGCGAAATACTACTCCCCAGAGAAGACTCGAGCTGCACAGAGAGCCATACACAGCTTCACTCAGGAGAGTGACGAGAGTCTATACGATGCATGGGAGAGATTCAAAGGTTATCAACGCCTTTGTCCACACCACAGCATGGATAAACGACTGTTGTTATCCACGTTTATCCACGGACTACGACATGATACCAGAGCTTGGATGGACGCAGCTTGTGGAGGGAGTGTATATGACATTCCCTTTGACACCCTAGAGATGCAGATTGCCAAGATGGCCAAAGCAAGAGGGATGTCAGGAGATAGCATAGGACGCTCTACAGGACGAGTAGATTTGGGTGAGTCCGCAGCTTTGAAGGCAGTCATGTCAGATCTATCGGCAATCAAGCAGCACATGGGACTCAAGAATACATCTAGGAGAATCTGCAGTTTTGAAAGCTGTCATGTCTGAGCTAGCGGTTATCAAGCTCCATTTGGAAGCTAAGAGCAGTTCGAATCAGACACCACCAGAGATAGAGGAGGCAGTGGAGGACGTCAATTATGTTGAGAAAACTCATCTTGGTTTCTCCTACGGAAACCCGAGTGGAGCATTGAATGCACAACAACATGGCATTCCCAGAATCCCTCAGAATCCCCCGAGCTTCACTCAGTCACGTTTTCAGGGGCAGAATCAGGGATATGCACAGCAGAATCCAGGATACGGGCAGCAGAATCAAGGTTACCGAGCGCCTCAACCTGCGAAGAACGATGAAGCAGACATCAAGACGATGCTTGCCCAACTAATGCTCGATCAGAAGACATCATTCACTGAGCTGAAGACTGAGATACAGAGCATAAAAGTCATGCAAGACAATTTTGAGGGGAGATTAGATGGGGTCGAAGCTCATCTGAAGCTTGTTGATACTCAGATTGCACAACTTGCATCGCATGTCTCCAGACCACAGGGTACATTCCCGGGAAAGCCTGAGCCGAATCCACGAGAGCATGTCAATGCTATTCATCTTATAAGTGGAGAGAACCTGCATGATACAGTCCCTTTGACCACAGAAAAAGGGGTGATCTCTAGATACACCATCGAGGAGAAAGGGAAAAACATAGCTCACGAGACACCTAAGGTGCATGTAGAGGAAGCCGAACCGCCTTATGTAGCTCCCCCACCTTATGTACCACCCGTTCCTTTCCCTTCTCGATTGAAGAAGCATGCTGAGGATACACAGTTGTCTAGATTTGTTGATATGCTTCGGAAGTTAGAGGTTAAGATGCCTTTCTATGAGACGATACTTCAGATCCCTTCTTATGCGAAATTTTTGAAAGATATCTTGACTAAGAAGAGGGTAATTGGGAAGGAGACAGTAGCCTTGAGCACAGAGGTGAGCGCCGCGATTCTACAGCATGAGTTGCCACGAAAGAGATCGGATCCAGGTAGTTTCTCGATTCTTTGCAAAATCGGGAACATTGAGATTGATCGTGCATTGTGCGATTTGGATGCCAGTGTGAGCTTGCTTCCGTTGTCCATCTACAAGAAGCTCAACATTGGAGATCTTAAACCGACGAGGATGGCACTACAGTTGGCGGATCGATCCGTCAAGTATCCTGCAGGTATTCTCGAGGATGTCCCATTGAAAGTCGGGGATTATTATGTTCCCGTTGATTTTGTTGTCTTAGACATGGACGAGGACTCGAAGATACCGATTATACTAGGCCGACCGTTCTTAAACACGGCCGATGCGGTGGTTCATGTTCGTGCTGGTCGTCTCACAATGAAGATAGGTGACGAGACTGTGGAGTTCACCTTAGATCACAACATGAAACAGCCGTCCACCACCGATTCAGCGTGCTATGTCGATGTGCATGAAATCCTCACTCAAGAAGTCTTCGATCAGTTTCGGGAAGTCGATCCTTTAGAGATATCTCTCCTAGCGTCAAACGAGAGCATATACAGCAATTGGGAGGATATCCGAGAGCTTACGCGAGCATCGGACCGATTCCACCTGGAATCGGACCGGATCCAGTCTCTGAGCAAATCGGACGTTTTTCACATCGACGCACCCGATTCTTCTACGAACGTCTCCGAACCCTCCACGACGATGACTAAAGACGTTCTAGAGACCAGAGAGCCACCACCTAACACGGGGACACTGTATAAAGCAGATTGGAGTCTAGAAAATGCCCTGAAGGTGAAATTGAAGCCCTTACCTCAAAGGTTTAGGACAAAGGAATACATATACGCGGATAGGAACACAGGACCATCATTGGAGAGAGGTACGTATCCTGCTCATAATCCTATATCCGTTGTTGAACCTTCTATTACAGGTCATCGAGTAGGGGTAATGAGCAAGAGAGGATCGAAACGAGCAAAATCATCGCTCAAACGTCCACAAGATCCACCTCCTTCACAAGTTTGGAAACCCAAGGAGGATAGAAGGCTCAAGCATCCACGAGGTCCAAAAGATGCGCTTAACGCTCAACATCTACTATCTTACTCTCTATCCCCGATAGCTGCTCCACATGTTGTTTTTTATTGACTGATATGGTGTCTAGTTAGAGACACATGGGTATTCATTTTGTAGGGTATTCGGTCCTATCCGGTTATGTACACGAACTATTTTTATTAATATACATTTAACTTTTATCCAAAAAATAAAAATAAACAATCCAAAAAAACCCTTATAAATGTGAATCACATAAAGATTCATATCGAAAAATTTCACTGTTTTTTTAATCATAAACGGTATTCGTTGATAATTATCGACACAACAACCTATTGATAATTACAAACACTTTGCGTAATTTTCAATACACATTATTATATTATAAGGAGGAGAGATTAAAAAATTCAAAAAGAAAAAAATTGTGAATGGATTAAAAGACGAATAATTGAGTTGGAGGTGAAGGGTATGAAGTGGTCCTTGGCGAGTAATGTATTCATCACTGACCCTTCCGCAGGGCACATAATGATAAGAGAGAGAGCCGGACGTCCTTTTCTCATTCAGTCAAGTGGGATTCCATCTCGTCCGTTAGTCGAAACAGAAGTCCATACGCACATACCATACACGATCCTCTTGTACATGGTTTATTCGACAGTATACGATTAAATAAAACTCGTGTACCCAAGTTTAAATTGTCTAAGAGAACATGCAAAACATATTCTAATCGCAGATTCAAATCTAAACGTGGAGAGATCCATTAAACCGGACTTCTCTTTTCATTTGAAAGATATAACTGGGTCAAATCTATAGTAAATTTTTGGATTATCAAAAAAAAAAACTTTGCGGATTAACTAGCATGAACAATCCTATATGGATTTTACTGAATTATCATATATATATATATATATATACATATGATAATTTTTTCGTCAGAATATATCATCTGTCTCATAATTCAAGAGAGTTGTAAGTGTTACGTGGCGAAGAAAAATGTATATTTTAACCTTTAGAAATGAAAAGAGATCATGTAAAGTAAATAAAAGCATATAAGCGTGACAAAAATATTCAAAATATGGGTTAAGGACATTAAGAAAAGACGAAGATAATCACAGAAATAAAATAATACGAATGAATCGGGGGTTAATAATAAGAACTTGGAGTTTGAAAATGTGAAATGCAGGTAACCATTTTTCCCGTACGACCAAACAAGCTTTGCGTATGAAACAGAATATTCTGCATACGTAAGGGGATTTTTTTTTTGGTTGGAAGACCCTCCCAAAGAAAAAAAAAACAGGGTTCACGAGTTTGATAATCCCCAAGGGGAAAAACACAACCTTTGATGTTAAAGTTTCAAACTTGAAACCCCAAATTCAGACATTGACGTATGGTGGGAGGAATCATGTCCTAACACTCAGCCTGTCTCTGTCTGAAGGAAGAGAAGATGATGATGGCGAGCGTATCCATATCGTCATCTTCTTCTTATTTTTATTCGTCTCAAAGAAAATTATATTGGTTTCTGTCAAAACAATAAATATTCTTCGCTACTCGTTGTTCGATTCCCAATGCAGAGAGAGAGAGAGAGAGAGCGAGAGGGGAGAGAGAGAGAGGGAGTTGCAGAGCTGCTGCTTCCGATATCTGTGTCTGATAAAGAAACTGAGGAACCCAAAACAAGAATAAGCAAAAGATAATAGGAACTGAAAGGAAAACGAGAAGACCCATTTCTTGGATTCTTCCACTGCAAAATTCTTGTTTTTGCAAAACTTTTTATAGTTTCCTTTATCCTCTTGTCAGTCCTTTTCACCTGTGATTTTGTAAGAGGTGAGAAGAAAAAAAGGGTATAGAAAAGGAGAAGCCTTTCAGCCAGAAATGGGAAGGGGGTGGTACAGGCTCGGCGGCGGCGGCGGCGGTAACGGCGGTGGTGAAGGCGGCAGAGAAGTCTCCTCATTCAATTCACAGAGAAAAAGCAGAAGCCGTGAGAGCAGTAGTAATGCAGCTTCTGGTTGCATGGCTGCTCTCTTCCAATTCCTTGATTTCCACCATTTTTACTTTCCTTCTCATCACCACCATCCCACCATTGATTCTCCCCCTAAGCATCCAAGAGGTACTCTCTCTCTCTCTTCCCCCTCTCTCGCAAGAGACTGAGTAACAGAGGAGTCTCTTCTGAAATTTCAGGGTTGGTGCCACCAAGAAACAGCTTGGGACTAACCGAGGAGTCTCCATTATCAACAACCTACAAGGACAAAGAACTTCTTAATGTCCCAGTGAGCGACACATGATCTCATTAAGTTGAAATCTTTTTTTATCTTACACAGTGGTTTCTCCATTAAAAGAGTTGATTGAGCCAATCTGCAATTCTAAAATGCAGATGGGATTCAAAGTGAAAACAGGAGGAGGAGCCACAAGATTAAAGCTCAGAGCCCATGCCATGGAAACCTCCTCCTCTTCGTCTGAAATGGGTAACTCTCCTGGCACCAAGACACCAAACTTGGTGGCTAGACTCATGGGTCTTGATCTTCTTCCTGATGGCATAGACAATAACCATTCATCACCAGATCTTCTTCATGTAATGCCAAGCCACAGACCTACAAGTAGATTAACAAGCCACAGGCTCTCCTTAGATAGCAAAGCCCCTGGGACTAGGTCCCTACCCGAGAGCCCTAGAGTCTCCTCAGCCCGGAAATCAGATTTCGACATCCACCGCCTCTCTCTTCAGCTGAACAAGGAGAATAAATACGAAGAACTTGGGTGTTCAAGACTCAGAGCGTTGAAGCAAGAAGAGAGTCCCCGAGCTTATGCAAAGCAGATACTGAATCAAATCAAAGAGAGGGTCGTCACCAGGAGAATTGGTATGGATATAACGAACACAGTCAAGAACAGAGAGGCAGAGCCAGGAAGAAAGCGCTATGAGCTTAAGAGAAACTCTGCAATGTCTTGCTCCCCAAGTGACAGATTCCCAGAAAAAGAAAACAAACCAAGCATCAAACAGAAAACATCATCCCAATCCACGTCAAGACCAGATCATAACCCTCAGAGCCCTAAGATACCGTCTCCAGCGGAACAAGAAAGCCTGAAAAGAGTGAAGCAAAAACAGCTAAGGCCCATCAAGAGATGCAAAGAGGGGAATGGTGAAACAATGTCTACTCCAAGGCCGACCAAGCATTCTCTAACGTCCAATATTCAGAACAGGCAGGAAGATGTCTTCTTTTCGATGTCAAGAAACTCGAAAGATAAGCACTATAGTCATTCAGACAAGAAGAGAAGCAACAAAACCCATGTTTCAAATGATCTCATCAACATCTCTGTGGCACCAATCGTCCCTGTGAAGAAAGCACTATCTCCTCCCGCCACAAAACTTCCTCAGAAACAGGTATCTATGTTCAAATTCCCCAGAAAATGTGTACCATTTCCCAGAAAGAAAACCCTTTATTCCCAAAGCAAAAAAGTTTCTCTCCGAGTCTCTTTTTGGGAATGATACAAACACTTGACATTCATTTATGTTCTGTCCCCCAAAGTTTTCAAACTCTGATTAATCAAATCCCCTTTTCCGAATGTTGAAGATGAATGAATCTCAGACTCGAGAATGGGAACGGAATTCAAAGGCATTAACACGCCACGGTCAAACGTACAAGCACGAGGAGAATCTCCTCCAAGTAGCTCGAACCCCCAATTTGGACCACACGACCGCCATTGCAGCCACCTCCACAACCACTGGAGGAACCGGGATAAACATCGAACAAGAGTACGTTACCAGAATACTGAGCTACGCAGGCATAAGAGACACCGACTCACCCGTTTCTTCTGCAACATGGTCCTCTCAGCCTCACCCGCTCGATCTTTCTATTTTCCGAAACCTTGAGCATTTAGGACAACATCCATCTGGACCATTGGCTCTGCGATGCAATCGGAGACTGCTTTTCGATCTGGCAAACAAGATTTTGGTTGGAATCCTCAATCTGCACACGAGATGTCACCGAAACTACAATGGTTCGGAACTCGTCAGCAAGCTTTGTTCATCCATAGCAAGTTATCCACGTGTCAGTTTCACGAATTCCGAAGAGATAGATGCTCTGTTCGCCGGAAAACTGTCGTCGACGATGAAGGTTGAAGAGGAAGCAGAAGGTATCGCCGCAGAGATTGAGCGGGATATCGTCGAGACACTAGTGGACGAAACGACGTCGGATGTAAGCTTGTACGAAACGAAACGGCGTCGGATCATTACGCATTTAAACGGCGTCGTATCGGGAAACGCAATGGAAACGACATCGTAGTTTTTCAGGTTACAGTGCCATATGGGCCGTCGGGTTTAGGGCTGAGCAAACGCTTACGTGTCATGTTATTATTGGTTAATGAAACATCTGATAATATGTTTGTTTCTAAACTATATGCCAATCAATGATCCCTTATAACATCGGATTATGTTTCTTTGTAATCATCGTCATATAGTTTGTTTCTAAGGACTCGATCAATAATTACTATAGGGCTTAATGAACATAACATTAGACATGCCGATGATCATAGCTTTCTTAATTTATCTTTAGGGTTTTTTAGTAGGACGTTTTTTAGTAGGACGTGTGTTTCGGAATTCGGTTCGAAATTTTAGCGATTCGATTCGAAAATGGTTAATTCTGTATTCTAAATTTTTTATCAAATTAGTATCATATATTAGGGGTGGGCACGGATCGGATATCCGGAGTTTTTCAGATATTTGTATCCGTATCCGATCCGTATAAATATCATATTTTGTTATTCGTATCCGATCCGTAGTTTTCGAATATCCGCAATTTCAGATATCCGAAAAAACTTCGGATATTTACAAATATCCGTATCCGACAAAAAAATAAAAAAATAATTTATTTATTCATTTGATTTTTACTTAATGGATATTAGGGGTGGACTCTATCTCGCAATGTCCGGATACCCGAGACATGAGTTCGGGTATACCCGCGATACCCGAACCCGAACTCAGCGTAAAATTTAAAAAAAAAACTGAGCAGATAAATCTGCAAAATTAATACATCAATGACATAAAATTCAACATCAAAATCTATCCAAAATGCATCATAAGTTCAACAGCATCATAATTCTTAAACCCACAAAAAAAAAAAGAAAATAAATTCAATGATGAGATTTGAGTCAGATATCCGTAATCGGGACTGAATTGCTAGTAGGCGTCTTTGAGTTTCCTGCAACATAACGAAGGGTTCTCATAAGAATTTTAGTCATTTGAAGACATAACGAAGGGTTCTCACAAGAGCCCAACTCGACCAATCAAAGCTCACTCTTCTCCGGACAAATGCAAGTGGGAACAAAAAATATTCTAACAAAGACATGAACCATTACACGAATTGCTCTACAGATTAATTGAATTCGAAGCCTCTAAGTGACTAAAATTTGTAATCAAATATCTTGAGAGTTTAGATAAGAATTAAGATTTGTAATCAAAGCTAAAAAAAATGTAGACAAAATAATTAATCTGTCATGTAAGTGGACTGCTAGATTTTTCATGTGGGCTACACTTAACACGTTGCCATATACACTGTTGTGGAAAATGTCTATCTTTCGTAAGATTTTGTTAGATTTTTCAATATCCAAAAAAATACACCAACTCTCTCTATCACAAAATCATAACACAGATCCATCAGAAGAAATCGCTATCTACAACAACAAAAAAAATGTTTCGAACAAAACCCTTTTCGATCAAATCTTTGTGTGCAACAAATCGGTAGAAATTTACCGTCTCCAGCGGAACAAGAAAGCCTGAAAAGAGTGAAGCAAAAACAGCTAAGGCCCATCAAGAGATGCAAAGAGGGGAATGGTGAAACAATGTCTACTCCAAGGCCGACCAAGCATTCTCTAACGTCCAATATTCAGAACAGGCAGGAAGATGTCTTCTTTTCGATGTCAAGAAACTCGAAAGATAAGCACTATAGTCATTCAGACAAGAAGAGAAGCAACAAAACCCATGTTTCAAATGATCTCATCAACATCTCTGTGGCACCAATCGTCCCTGTGAAGAAAGCACTATCTCCTCCCGCCACAAAACTTCCTCAGAAACAGGTATCTATGTTCAAATTCCCCAGAAAATGTGTACCATTTCCCAGAAAGAAAACCCTTTATTCCCAAAGCAAAAAAGTTTCTCTCCGAGTCTCTTTTTGGGAATGATACAAACACTTGACATTCATTTATGTTCTGTCCCCCAAAGTTTTCAAACTCTGATTAATCAAATCCCCTTTTCCGAATGTTGAAGATGAATGAATCTCAGACTCGAGAATGGGAACGGAATTCAAAGGCATTAACACGCCACGGTCAAACGTACAAGCACGAGGAGAATCTCCTCCAAGTAGCTCGAACCCCCAATTTGGACCACACGACCGCCATTGCAGCCACCTCCACAACCACTGGAGGAACCGGGATAAACATCGAACAAGAGTACGTTACCAGAATACTGAGCTACGCAGGCATAAGAGACACCGACTCACCCGTTTCTTCTGCAACATGGTCCTCTCAGCCTCACCCGCTCGATCTTTCTATTTTCCGAAACCTTGAGCATTTAGGACAACATCCATCTGGACCATTGGCTCTGCGATGCAATCGGAGACTGCTTTTCGATCTGGCAAACAAGATTTTGGTTGGAATCCTCAATCTGCACACGAGATGTCACCGAAACTACAATGGTTCGGAACTCGTCAGCAAGCTTTGTTCATCCATAGCAAGTTATCCACGTGTCAGTTTCACGAATTCCGAAGAGATAGATGCTCTGTTCGCCGGAAAACTGTCGTCGACGATGAAGGTTGAAGAGGAAGCAGAAGGTATCGCCGCAGAGATTGAGCGGGATATCGTCGAGACACTAGTGGACGAAACGACGTCGGATGTAAGCTTGTACGAAACGAAACGGCGTCGGATCATTACGCATTTAAACGGCGTCGTATCGGGAAACGCAATGGAAACGACATCGTAGTTTTTCAGGTTACAGTGCCATATGGGCCGTCGGGTTTAGGGCTGAGCAAACGCTTACGTGTCATGTTATTATTGGTTAATGAAACATCTGATAATATGTTTGTTTCTAAACTATATGCCAATCAATGATCCCTTATAACATCGGATTATGTTTCTTTGTAATCATCGTCATATAGTTTGTTTCTAAGGACTCGATCAATAATTACTATAGGGCTTAATGAACATAACATTAGACATGCCGATGATCATAGCTTTCTTAATTTATCTTTAGGGTTTTTTAGTAGGACGTTTTTTAGTAGGACGTGTGTTTCGGAATTCGGTTCGAAATTTTAGCGATTCGATTCGAAAATGGTTAATTCTGTATTCTAAATTTTTTATCAAATTAGTATCATATATTAGGGGTGGGCACGGATCGGATATCCGGAGTTTTTCAGATATTTGTATCCGTATCCGATCCGTATAAATATCATATTTTATTATCCGTATCCGATCCGTAATTTTCGGATATCCGTAATTTCGGATATCCGTAAAAATTACGGATATTTACAAATATCCGTATCGGAAACAAAAATAATAAAAATAAAAATAAAAAAGCTAAAACACAAATAAAATATATAATTAATTCATCAAATACAAAACGATATTCAAATTCAAAATACATGGTATAAAGATTCTAAATCAAACCAATTACAAACACAATCATAATCTATCGGATACAAATATATTTAATGTTTAAATTCAAAAGATTAAGAATCATAAACCTCCATACATAAAACTTGAATATTCATGAAAAATCTGTAAAAAAAAAAAAAACATTCCAACATAAAATATAAATCACTTGCCGGGACAGACCCATATTTTGTCACCTCCGTAATCGGGACTGAATTGCTAGTAGGCGTCTTTGAGTTTCCTGCAACATAACGAAGGGTTCTCACAAGAATTTTAGTCATTTGAAGACATAACGAAGGGTTCTCACAAGAGCCCAACTCGACCAATCAAAGCTCACTCTTCTCCGGACAAATGCAAGTGGGAACAAAAAATATTCTAACAAAGACATGAACCATTACACGAATTGCTCTACAGATTAATTGAATTCGAAGCCTCTAAGTGACTAAAATTTGTAATCAAATATCTTGAGAGTTTAGATAAGAATTAAGATTTGTAATCAAAGCTAAAAAAAATGTAGACAAAATAATTAATCTGTCATGTAAGTGGACTGCTAGATTTTTCATGTGGGCTACACTTAACACGTTGCCATATACACTGTTGTGGAAAATGTCTATCTTCCGTAAGATTTTGTTAGATTTTTCAATATCCAAAAAAATACACCAACTCTCTCTATCACAAAATCATAACACAGATCCATCAGAAGAAATCGCTATCTACAACAACAAAAAAAATGTTTCGAACAAAACCCTTTTCGATCAAATCTTTGTGTGCAACAAATCGGTAGAAATTATAGTTGATAATCCAATAAAAAAGAGAAAATATTGAAAAAAAAAACAATTCGACGAATCAAAGATTAGTAGAGATTGTACCTTTAGATCTATAGATGTGCAATAGGAAAAATGATGGAGAAAAAGAGAGAGCTGGCGGAGATTGGAGAGCTATGGTATTGAGAGAGAGAGAGAGAGAGAAGGGGTGAAAGGCGGCAGAAGAACTCACGGAGTGTTGGAATCGTGAGAAAAAACCCTAACATAAGTTTTATTTTTTATAAAGTTACCCCTACTTATAAACTAATTACAAAACTAACCATATATAATTAAAATTACTAAAAAGTACGGATCGGATCGGATATACCGGATATTTTTATTGTGATATCCAGATTAAGAACCATATTTCACATAAGAATGAGTTGTTACACTCATCCTCATGCTATTTAGGTAGACATCTAATGTCAATCACATCCAATGTGACCTAAGACTATGATAAGAAATATGATAAGAAATATCATTGCATACTCATCTCATCTGTACCGTTAAGTCTTAAGTCAAACTTGACAACTTAACCTAAGCTTAACCATATTCAAGCTGTGGGAACCACGATTTCGCACCCTGCCTCACAAAGATAATCCGGCACGCTAAGCTTTGGCATGACCCGTGTTACGAACGATCGATGCCTTGACAAGTGGTCTGGTAATGGAAGGCACACGCTTAGCATTACATAAAAGGGATTTTTAACACCACACTTAGATCAAACGTCTACATTTAAGCTATGAGAACCACCATTTCTCTGATCACATCATATTTACTTGAGAATTTTATGAGTGGATTGTGACCTTTATCATTGGATTCATGTGCATATGAGTCGTCTAGGGGTAGAGTAGGTCCTTGTTTTGGTCATTGCAGGATCAGGTGATGCAGTCAAGTCAACGGGAGAAAACGACAGAAGAATCGGGCAAAAATGCGGGATGTGGAACAAAAATAAAAAATGGGCTACCGCCCTAAAAAGAGATCTGGCCGCCCTAAAGTGATAGAAGCCTTGAGATTTAACAGAAAATTCAGGAGGGTCGCCCCTAAGTTCTGTCGACCGCCCGAAAATGTGAAGCATATTCAGGCTCCCGCCCTGAAATACAGAGAGACCGCTCGAAAATGCAATATTCCCAGCGAAAGCCTCAAAAGAAAGGAGTTGGCCGCCCTAAAATGTAGAGTGGCCGCCCATTTATATCTGACGAAATTCAATTTGTGTTTTGGCCCATTTCTAAGCCCACAATGATAGTAGAAGAGAACCTAGGGTTTCTTAACCTTAGGGGGGTCATTTTAAAAGAAGGGAGCCACCTTGAGGGAAAAGGGGAGGAAGAACTTGGAGAACAAGGGGGAAAGCTTGGAGAAGGAGGAGAGGAGAGAGAATCCACCATTGAAGACCATATTAAGCTTTCTCTCTCTTACTCTTCATGTTTTATTTTGTTTCTTCTTGTTTTCTTTCCTTGAATATGGAGTAGACCTTTAGTTGTGGGGAAGGGATCCCCTTGTGTGTGGATGTTGGGGTTTAATCTATGATACTCTTGGGTTGTTTTCATTGGTTTGATATTGTGTGCTTCATGCTTTTGATCTTGACAAAACCTTGATTGAATGATTTTAGAACAACATTGATCATAGAGATATGGGAATGATGTTTGGACCTCAATATCAAATGAGTAGGTTATTCACATTGATAAATGGTTTAACTTACTTAGGATTTGTGATGGGGAGTGTTAATGCATTTAGGGATTATCTAGATCATTGAGAGATGGATGGATTAATCTTCTAGATAGTAGGTCTAAGCTTGAGAGAGAAAGACCTTACACAAGAGCTTGAAATCCCCAATTTGAAACCAACCATTGTAGTAATCACCTCATTCCAACCCATGACACTCTTTTGATTGTCTCTATTGGTTTTGATGTCTTATTCTTCATGCTTTTGATCTTGACAAAATCTCGATTAAATGATCTTAGAACAACATTGATCATAGACATATGGGAATGTTGTTTTGACCTAGACATCTAATGAACAAGGCATTCTCAAACTTTGTAATACCGACAACCTGTATGAGCGACACTTCAACTGGAGAAGGAGATGGTACGAAGAGTGCGTTCATGGGGTTATCTCCCATTCCCTTCCCCACCATCGGCTGGTCGACCAATGGTTTAATGCCATGTTTCATGAGGTGTACGCGGGGGCCCACCCCGCTGAGCATGAGCAGCTGTGGGCTCCCGATGGCCCCTGCCGAGAGGATGATGTCGTTGAGGGAGTGTTTCACAAGCTCCGCCTTGTGAAACACTCCCTTTCCATCCTTGAATATCACCCCATAGGCTCTTGGCCTCGGCCTCCCTATCCAAAACCCGAGATTTCGTGGAAAAAATGACACGAATTACGAATAGTGACTTCTATTTTTCATTGAACAATATATATGCCTTTTTTTTTAATCTATGCGTCTTATGAATGAATATGTTATTATACGTACCTTTGGTAGTGAAGAGGATCTTGTGAACACAAGCATGCAAGTAGACGACAAGTCTGTTAGGATCGGCGTACTCTAACAAGTCAGCAGCCGTGTGTCTGTGTCCCGACCGGTCAAAGATGGTCCCACCGATCTTTGTCCCGTAGCTATGTTCGTACGTGAACCCGTTGTACGGGACGACCCCCGCCTCCACCAGACCCTCCTTCACCGCCGACTGCCACGTCATCATGGACGGCTCGAACGCCACTTTCCTCTCGACCCACTCGTATGCCGCCTTCACCTCCTTCTCCTTCCACCCGGCCTCTCTCACGAACTCTCCGCTCGCCCTCGTGTAGAACCCCGCGTTCAGCACCGACCCTCCTCCCAGCACACGCGCGCGCGTGTTGTACACGCCGTCCTCCGATATGAAGAGCTGCGACCACGAGCTCGGGCCGATCTCCGACAGGGTGGCCGCGAAGCTCTCTATGTCGGTGGCCTTCGGGTTCTCGTACGGAGAGCCACCTCGCTCGAGGACCAAAACGGTGGCGTTCTGGGAGAGGGTGGCGGCTAAGGCGCAACCGGAGGTCCCTCCTCCGATGACTATGTAGTCGTAGCGAGAGAACAACGGAGCTAATGATGCATCTTTCATGAATCTGTAATACGGACCTACGCAATGTATAAAAGATGGTTTACTTGCGTACATATAACATGAAATCGTAATTAAAGATCAGAGATCGATGTACCTATTCGTGAGTGACATGATCCAATAAAGATGGAAATTGCAAGGACGAGGAGGTGAAAGAATCTGAAAATATGAAGGGGCATTTTAGTTAGGCAACAAAAATAGAATATGGTGGGTTCTTTATTATGATCTTGAGGCGTAATTAAGAAAACTATTATATAAAATGCAAGAGAAAGGGTCTTCTTTATAATACTAAGTTTTATCGTTCAACAACACGTATTTATGGTCTTAGGGTTCATACAAAGATCTTAGAGTTTTCTTTTTTTATAATAAAGAAATGGTTTCTTATAGTTCGCTATAATTAGTAAATATACCTGATAGGTCATACTGTCGTTCCTGTATTTGAAAGATTGATATTGTTTATCACGATCGAAATAAAAAAAAATGACTATTATATGTAGAAGAATAAAAAAACCTTAATACCAAAAAAAAAAGAATAAAAAACCTTAAAAAAATAATAAGGTAAGATAACAAATCCGAAAACGAAAACCCCGGAAAAATAAAATAAAAAAAAATACATTTTTTGAAACTAAGTGACCAAATGAAGTCGTTTCGTGATTAATAAAGATTAATAAAAACAAATCCAAGTATGGGAATGCTCCTAACCACCAAGGTTTAGATTCCATTGGCTAGTTATTATAAAAACAATTAATAAACACAACAGGAAAAATCAAAAGATTTAACCATTTGTAGTGAGTATTTGAAGATCAAAATCTATATAAAAAAACTTATGCAGCTCATTTATAGGGCGTATAATGCTTGATGATATAATTATGCAATACATTAATTATTTCTGTTTTTCTAGGTTTAGTATATTTTTTATTTATTTTATAATTCAGAGAATGAAGTATGTCACTTATGCTAGAAATGTATAGACGAATTTGGTTACTTCGTTTATATATATATATATATGTGGAAATTGAATTTAATGAGGTATGATAAAGTTTTATATACATTAGTGTAAAATATTTCCGCATTAATGTGGTAATGAGTATTAATTTGCATTCATTCGTCTTTTTAATTAGAGGGGCGGTTTTAATGAATTCAATTGATTTTGAGCTGAATATTAATTAATGTCTTTTTTCCATATTTAATTCCCCCCCCCCCCA